ACCGCAGGCCGATGCTCTAACAGCTGAGCCAAACCGGCCAGGGCCAGCCATTGTACTTTTTACCTGTTTTCCCCAGTGGTGATATTTTGCAAAATTAGTACAATATCACAACAAGGATATTGACATTGATATAATCTTTTTTAAAAAATCCATAGATCTTATTCTTATGTCCCAGTTTTACTTTTTACATTTGCTTTGTCTTTTAAAGAGATGGTTTAGCCCTGGCCGGTTTGGCCCAGCGGTTAGAGAATCGGCCTGCGGTCCAGAGAGACCCGGGTTCGGTTCCCGCTAAGGGCGTGTACCTCGGTTGCAGTTTGTCCCCGGCCCTGGTTGGTCATGCGAGTGGCAGCCACTCGATGTGTCCCTTTCACGTCGATGTTTCTCTCTCTCTTCCTCTCTCTCCCTTCCAATGTATCTGAACAAAAAAAATGGAAAAATGTTCTCGGGTGAGGATAAAAAACAAAAAAGAGATGGTTTAATTTGTAGAGTCTAGAGTCATTTGTTTTTTATTATGGTTCTCAATATGCAAATTACATCTACCTCTTGCACAGAAATGGCACCCTGCCACTTCCCTGGAACATTTATTTAATCCAGACAGAATTACTTCTGGGCAACCCTTATCTATATATCTACCATCAATTGCCCTTTCTCCCTTGTTATAATGATACATAAACTCTCTTATCCAGAATAACTAGGTCTTTAGTTCAATTGAGTGGCCATATACAGTATAGAACCATTGATTTTTTTTTCAGTGTATTAAAAAAAATTGTTTTTTTGCTTTTATTGATTTTAGAGAGAGAGGAAGGGAGAGGGAGATAGAAATATCGATGAAAGAGAACATCGACTGGCTGCCTCCTGCATGCCCCTCACTGGGAACTGGGCCCACAACCTGGGCATGTGCCCTGACTGGTATTCGAACTGGCGACCTCTTGGTATATTGGTCGATGCTCAACCACTGAGCCACACCAGCCGGGCTCAGTGTATTTGATATATTCTGAACTCCATATCAAGAACCTCTCATTGTTTAAGCCATCTTCAGTCATCTTGAAAGTACTTGAGAACCCAGTAGTATATCAGGGTCACCAATTTTCCCTGGACAGTATTAAGAGATATAGAAGGTTTGCAGAGTCTGCCCTGTCCCTGAGTAGTCACTCTGAGAAATAGTTTATTTGAATAAAATTTTGACACATTTGTTCATGTCATTCTGTAGTCTCAAAATGAACAATACAGGGAGATTTGTTTTGCTCACCCATAGTTGCTAAATTTTCATTAATGAGCCCTGGCCGGTTTGGCTCAGCGGTTAGAGCGTCGGCCTGCGGTCCTGAGAGACCCGGGTTCGGTTCCCGCTAAGGGCATGTACCTCGGTTGCAGTTTGTCCCCGGCCCTGGCTGGTCGTGCGGGTGGCAGCCACTTGATGTGTCCCTTTCATGTCGATGTTTCTCTCTCTGTCTCTCTCTCCCTCTCACTCTAACTGAACAAAACAAAACAAAACAAAAAAACAAGTAAATTTTCATTAATGAAAATTACTTTTGTAGAGGAACTTATACAAATACCAGCTACATACATTTTACGGGGGGTTTGCATTCCAAGAAAACGAGTTTACTGCAGTTAGAACTCGGGCTGATTGCACATGGTCATTAGTTATAATTGAACATGTTTCTTCCAAAGATTGCATTTTTGCCAAGTTTTTATAGATTACCATTAACTTGAGTTCTCCTCTTTCTCTGCCTTTCATTTCTACACTCACCGTAAAGAAATGTTAAAGCATTAAAAGAATAGCCCTTTCCCTATATGCCACCCAGCACACAATCCTCATTTCCTCTCGTTTCAAACATAAAGGGGAGTCAGGCTCAGATAAGAAGGATCCTTGCTGCATGCCCACCGGCTCATGCATTCTTTTTTGTTGTTGTTTTGAGAGGCTCAAGCTCCAACAAAAATTACAAGTTCCCAGCAGAGCTACTCCCTGCTTGGTCTTACAAAAAAAAAAAAAAAAATAGAGATCTGTAATTCCTTTTTGAACATTCTTTTGAAGTGGAGGTCTTTGACCATGAGCTTCTCTTTGACATAATTGAGTGCCCACTGGTGATCCATTAGCTCCATAATTTATCACTTTGTCTTGAAAGCTTTGGTGGTGTCTGTAGGCATCATGGCTGCTCCAGTCATTGCTTTTGCATCTTTTCTGATTGGCCATTGGCATCTTGGCCCAGAATCAGAGAGAGTAAATGTCCAAATACACAGCAGAATTACCAGGATGGGGTTAATGTGAGTAGTTTGGTTCCTTGCTCTAAGTATAAGCTTAAAACAGGGTCAGTGGATGCCCTGACTGGTGTGGCTCAGTTGGTTGAGCATCGTCCTGTGCACCAAGAGGTCTTGTCAGGACACATGCCCGGGTTGCGGGCTTGATCCCCAGTATAGGGTGTGCAGGAGGCAGCTGGTCAGTGTTTCTCTCCCTCTCCCATCCTCTCTAAAAATCAATAAAAAACATATTTAAAAAAATAGGGTCATTGGAAATACAACTTTGGTTGTGACAAAGCTTGAGAGTGTCATGTTGATCCATGCACCAATGAGAATCATGGGGAGGACATTTGTTAATTCCCTTTCATTATGTCAGTGGGCATAATGGGATCACTCATAGAAGAGGGAGGTGCTATTTCTCCTTTATTTTTAATTTTTTGAAAAACCTACCCTGGGTTGTTGAAGTAATTTTCATGTGAAGAAGTACTGGTTGGGAATATAATTTCCATTTTACCTGCTTGTACTTCTAATCAGGACTTAACTGTTAGATACCTGCTTCTGGGTGAGCTTCTTGTCTCTCAGCAGCAGTATGAACACATAGTGGTGGATCATTCCCACAAAGGTGATCATAAAGATGGACAGGACCACCCAGAGACCGATGCTGGAGTAGAGGAGCAGCTCCCGCCCACAATTCTCACTGAGAGCCAGCTAGGCCAGGGCCCTAGGGCTTCTTCTCCCTGGTGAGCTGGGCTTCTTTTCTTCTCAGGGCCTTCTACCCCTCAGCCTGGGCATTATCTTGGCCCAGGATAGGCCTGGGCTCGAGCCTAGTGCACTTCCTCAAGCTGGAATGCCATTTTCATCGCAAACAAGTGCATCTGAAGTTTAGAATTCTAAAACAGAAACCAAAGTTTCCTTGAAATCTTTGCATGTTCCAAACCATCTATATTAAGACCACATTTTGGAGTGTAGGGGTTTTAAATGTAGGGTTTTTTTTTGAGACTACTATGACCTCCTTGCCTCAGTGAAAAAAAAAAAATAGACTAAAACATACATACAGCCCTGGCCAGTTTTGCTCAGTGGTTAGAGCGTTGGCCTGCAGTCCAGAGAGACCAGGGTTCGGTTCCCACTAAGTGTACCTCAGTTGCAGTTTGTCCCCGGCCCTGGTTGGGTCATGTGGGTGACAGCCACTCGATGTGTCCCTTTCACCTTCTCTCTCTCTTCCTCTCTCTCCCTCCTGCTCTGTCTGAACAAAAAAATGAGAAAAATGTCCTCGGGTGAGGATTTAAAAAAAAAGGAACTACTTAGAAGTATTACTGGATAGTTCAAACATACAAATTTAGATATGTCAAATAATCGAAATTTTAAATTTGCTAGTTGTAAGTAAATGTTTATGCGTATTTAGGTCAGGGGTTGTGGCGAATGTAACTTAAAGATTACTTATTTTCTGAGTAGATAATACTTGGTAAAACAATTTCAAAAGGATGTGTAGTTTACAGTCTTTCTCCCACCCTGTTTCCCATCTACCACGTTTTTATCAGTTTCCAGGGAGATTTTATGCATATACACACATATATATTTATCTGCTTTTTAAAACCACAGATGACTGCCCTGGCTGTTTTGCTCAGTGGTTAGAGTGTTGGCCCAAGGACCAGTGTCTCGGGTTTGATTCCAGTCAAGGGCACCTCAGTTGCCGCCCCCAGCCTTGGTCAGGGTCATGTGGAAGGCAGCCAGTTGAAGTGTCTCTCTCATGTCGATGTTTCTCTCTCCCCCTCCCACTCTATCTGAAGAATAAAAGGAAAAAAAAAAATCCTGGGGTGAGGATTAAAAATAAAATAAAATAAAATCACAGATGATAGCATATTACAGTCATCCCTCACCACTTCGCACTTCGACTTTCGCGGCTTCACTCTGTCGTGGTTTTTTCAAACACTATACTATACTTAAAAAAAACCGCGAGAGGGTGAAGCTGTGAAAGTCGAAGCACGAAGTGGCGAGGGACGAGTGTATATAAATAAAGAATCCTACTTTGCGGAAATTCATTGATCACAGTAGAGTCTGGAACTGATGAACCGTGACTGTATACAAACTGCACCTCTCTTCTTGAGTACCAAGTATTTCATATGCTTATCAAATTTAATACAATAGTAATTTAGATAGGTACTCATTATTTTCATTTTAGAAATAAAGAAACAAAGGTATCTAAATTTCTTAATTTGTCCTGGGTAGTGATATACCTTGTAAGTTATTGATAGAATCTACTTCCTAGGTATAGAGGTAGTTATGTAGGTACTACTTATTTATTTATTTACCTTTTGTTTTGAAACCATTTCAAACTTACAGAAAAGTTGCAAGAAATAGAATAAAGGATTTTATGTATTCGTTGCCCAGTCTCCTTTCGAGTTTCTATAGCTATATGTTCCCACTTGTTTTGTCTCTCTAGCTCCTTCAGTCTGGAACAGTTATTCAGTCTTTCCTTAGCTTTCATGACCTTGATATATTTGGAGATCAAAGGTCTGTCATTTTGTTAGACTATCAATTGGTTATTGTCCTAGGTTTCCTCACAAGTATACCCATATTGTGCATTTTTGGCAAAAATATCACAGAAGTTTTGTTGTGTTCTTCCCATTGCATCCTATCAGGTAGCATACATTGTTGAATGGTTCCATTACTCCTATTAACGGGAGAGAAGAGTGGGAGGGGAAAGTGACTTCTGTTGGTTTGCTTTGCAGAGAGCCCTCTGTTCAGTAAATATCTTTCCCTCGTAGCATCCTGGTGGAGAAGAGGTTTTGCTGGAACAAGCTGGTGCAGATGCGAGTGAAAGCTTTGAAGATGTAGGCCACTCCTCTGATGCCAGAGAAATGCTAAAGCAGTACTATATTGGTGATGTGCATCCGGTAAGAACCAACTGAGCTAGGAGTGCCTATGGAGAGGAAAGCTCCCGAACGGCCACAGAGCAATGGGAATTCATTCCACCCAGCCATCAGGCTAAATTTTCTCCAAAATCAGCTGGCCTTATTGTGCTACGATATAGCATCTTGTTTGTAAAACAGCCATGTAGTATCTCTGGAAAGCTAAGGAAACTGATTTTGGATATTTTTTGTTAATTGATTGGTTGATTTTTGTAATGCAGTTAACAGCATCTCCACTTAAAATAGTGGTTTGGTTACTGTTGCAAATTCCTTTCTGAAGTGGTAACTGTGGACTTTTTAAACCATACCATTCTAACAAGAGACCTTATGCTCAAAGTCGGGTATGGAGTGAGGGGAAAATACCCTTCTGCAGATCCTGATGTCTCTCAGGAAATTAATTTCTATCAGAATGTAGTCTTGTGTTCCAAGGTTAGAAACAAGCACCTAGGGAGCATTCATTTGGATATATCTTAACATATTATTTGTTTCTATTTTTAAACAGAATGACCTTAAACCTGAAAGTGGTAACAAGGTAAGAAGTCATTTGTTTCTCTTATGTGTTTCAAGTGTTTCTATTTCTATTTACTCATGTAGAATTGCTTTTTTAAAAATCATCTTAACAAGAGAAGTGTTTACTTTTTCCCCAAGCAAAAATCCGATTTTTCAGGAATTTGGACACAGTACCACCTCAGGAAAAAAGAATAGCTGAGTCTTGAACAGTAGGAAATATTTGTTCATGTTTCTGTTTACTTTTTTTAAAAAAAATTGAAACCCTAAAGCCATGCCCTATATGGTTTTGAAAGAAATTAGTTTATGGGTTCAGTTGTAGAAAGGTATTTATTATTCTTACATTAAATAGTACAGGTGATAATAATTGCTTCTGTATTGGAAAAAGAATTGGAAAGTTTATTTTTCTCTCAGAAGTCTTAGAAGTTGTAGACTAAAGTAACTGAATAGAACAGGCCTTTCTTTTCCTATTTCCCAAATTTAATCCTTTTATCATGTAGGCACAAATGGACCTAACCCTTTCCATTTACTCAGTGATACAGCAAAAAAAATGATTAAACATTTGAAACCTTAATATGCACTGCATAATGTACCAGGAAGAAAATATGAAAGCCTTTTTATGCTTCCTACAAGCTGAGTGGTTCATCTCAGTTTTCCTTTATTCCCTCAGTTTTCCTTGATTTCTGTCCATCAAATAACTATTACACTACCCTCTGATTTAAAGGGACAACAGTTTAATAGCTGCCTAGTATATCATGGAAGTGATGCTCCTTCCCCTTTTCCTCCTTCTAGCTTCTTCCCTTTCCTCATTGAGCTGGAATTATTGAACACATTTGGCACAACAATTACAGTTGGCCTAGACACAAGAATTCTTTCAACGCGAGGTTGCTTGACAGTGTCTGCCATCTGTTGCCCTGCGGTCCAGAGTGTGTAAATTAACTCTTAGTCTTACTACACTCTACTACTCTGAACTGTTGAATTGTTTATGAAGGGGGATGAAATGGTTCTTTAAATGCTTTGTGAGCACTGTTGGTTGGTTTGTCCACCCCTCCTAACACATATACTATCCATTCTTTTTTTTTCTTTTCTTTATTGATTTCTAGAGAGAGAGGAAGGGAGAGGGAGAGAGAGAAACATTGATGAGAGAGAACATCGATATGACAGAGACACATCGAGTGGCTGCCACTCACACAACCCCAACCAGGGCTGGGGACAAACCTCAACCAAGGTACATGCCCTTAGCGGGAACCAAACCCAGGTCTCAGGTCCACAGGCCAACGCTCTAACCGCTGAGCCAAACTGGTCAGGGCATCTCGCTCGCTCTCTTTTAATCCTCACCCAAGGATATGTTTTTATTGATTTTAGAGAGAGGAAGGGAGAAAGAGAAAAATATCAATCTGTCGGTTGCCTCCCACATGTGCCCTGAGCATTGATGGAACCTGCAACCTGGGTATGTGCCCTGACCAAGAACCAAACGCACAACCTTTCATATGGAACAATGCTCTAACCAACTGAGCCACGGGCCAGGGCCAAATATTCTTTTAATTACACAAACGAGGATTCAAGAATGGATAGTAGCCCGGCCAGTGTGGCTCAGCATCGACCCATGCACCAAGAGGTCGCCAGTTCAGTTCCCGGTCAGGGCACATGCCCAGGATGTGGGCCAAATCCCTAGTGGGAGGCATGCAGGAGGCGGCCTATTGATGTTCTCTCTCATTGATGTTTCCATCTCCTCCTTTCCTCTCCCTCTCAAATCAATAAAGAAAAAAAAATCCTTGGTTATTTAAAAAAAAAAAAAATGAGAGAGAGAAAATTTCAACTTAGTCTGGTCTTGTTTATTGAACATGTCCAGAAAACATTGCTCTCAGAGGTCAACATTTGATTCAAGGGATAGTCCCATTTGTATAAGAGATGCACCTTGTATCTGGGAGCCATAATTCACTTCTGCATAGCAACCATGAGAGCACCCTTTATATGAAAACAATAGAGGCCCTGGCCTGGTAGCTCAGTTGGTTAGAGCATCAATATGCCAAGGTTGTAGGTTCTATCCCCGGTTAGTGCACATATAAGAATCAACCAATGAATGCAAAAATAAGTAGAGCAACAAATTGATGTTTCTCTCTCTCTCTCTCTTTCTCTCCCCCTTGCTTCCTCTCTAAAATCAATCAATTAAAAAAAACACAATAAAAAATATTTTGGGCCCTGGCTGGTTTTGCTCAGTGGTTAGAGCGTCGGTCTGCGGTCCCGAGAGACCTGGGTTCAGTTCCTGCTAAGGGCACGTTCCTCAGTTGAAGTTTGTCCCCTGCCCTGGTGGGTTGTGCGGGTGGCAGCTACTCGATGTGTCCCTTTCACATCGATGTTTCTCTCTCTCTCTCCCCCTCCCACTCTATCTGAACAAAATATCAAAAAATGTCCTCAGGTAAGGATAAAAAATATATATATATTGGGAATTATAATGTGTAGAAGTCTGTTGTTGTTTTCTTCTTTGGTAGTACAGTATGTAGTTAAGACCATTCCTAGGAATGGAGAGTGGTGATTTTCAAATTCTGCTCCTTGTGCCACCTCTGTTGGAATCCTTTGGCATGTTTTCTGAAATGTGTATTTGCTGAGCTTCCATTATTACTGATTCATCATCTCTGGAGGTAGGACTTGGGAATTTGCATTTAAAGTAACCCAGGTAGGATAAAAAAAAAAATTTTTTTAAAAAGCCCTGGCCAGTTTTGCTCAGCGGTTAGAGCATCGGCCTGCGGTCTGGAGAGACCCGGGTTCGGTTCCCGCTAAGGGCATGTACCTCAGTTGCAGTTTGTCCCTGGCCCTGGTTGGTCGTGCGGGTGGCAGCCACTCGATGTGTCCCTTTCACGTCGATGTTTCTCTCTCTGTCTTCCTCTCTCTCTCCCTCCCACTCTATCTGTACAAAAAAATGGAAAAATGTCCTTGGGTGAGGATAAAAATAAATAAATAAATAAAGTAACCCAGGTAGCCCTGGCTGGTTTTGCTCAGCAGTTAGAGCGTTGGCCTGCGGTTCAGAGAGACCCGGGTTCGGTTTCTGTTAAGGGCACATACCTAGGTTGCAGTTTGTTCCCGGCCCTGGTTGGGTTGTGTGGGTGGCAGCCACTAGATGTATCCCTTTCACGTCGATGTTTCTTTCTCTCTCTCTCTCTCCCCCCCCCCACCCACCCACTCTATCTGAACAAAAAATGGGAAAATGTCCTCAGGTGAGGATAAAAAAAATAATAATAAATTAACCCAGGTAGCCAAGCATCAGACTTTTTGCTGAATGGTATGTTGATCTTTCATTTGGAAACAGGGATCTTCCATTCTCTTTTGGAAAAGCACTATCTGCTTTCTATAGGCCAAGAATTATTAGAGATGTCTCAGTTAAATTAAAACTGTTGAGCCTTTGACTTTTTGTAATAAATACAGAAAAAGAAACCCTTTCAGCTCACCTAATTCCGTAATAATTTAGAAGTCTCCAAATATAGTTTGGCTCCTGCCTGAGTTAAACAATGATTAAAGGCAGTGTTTTCAAGTATCTGTTTTCCTCGTGAATGTTGTACCCAAAGGACAGTCTCCATTAAGTAGAGAGTCTGGCACTTGAGTGTTTCCAGCCGCGCTGTTATACTCAGGCAGATCAGGCAAGCAAAGCCTTTTGGAAAAATTTCAAGACCACCTACATAGGTTGTCATGGGGCTGCAGTTTAACTAGATTTCAGGTCCAGGAAGAAATTCTTGGTCCCTCAGATTTATTTCTTACAGAGGTTTTAAATAGGTACTTCTGTGTCTAGGATGTAGGTGTCTCTTTAAAAATTTTTTCTGTTCTAGTTTAAATATTCACCTTGAAGAATTGGATGTAATGTTAATTTTATTAATACCTTCTTTTGGTTAAGGGTTTCTGAACCTCTATGAATAAGTGATTTTTTTTTAAGCCTGCCTTATGGGACAGTTTTCATTTTCCTTCTCCTTCTTTTCCCTTCCTTTATTTCTCCACTTCTCCCTCAGCTTCATATCTCTTCCCTGCCTGAAATTTCTCCCCTCTCCCTAATAATAAAAGACAACAACAACAAAACACCCAAACATTGCCATTCCAGTGAATGAATCAGGAACCTTTCCCCAGTTTTTTTGAAATTACCTTTCATAATGCCTTTGCTATGTATGACACAGGTAAATAATTAATGGTCACCATTGTTTTCTTTTGAGATTGAGAATGCCTGAGGTTTAAGGCCCTGACAATACTAAAACTGAAAAGCTTAGAAAACAGATCTGGCCTGGCTGGTGTGGCTCAGGGGTTGAGCATTGACCTATGCACCAGGAGGTCCCTGGTTCGAATCCTGGTCAGGGTATGTGCCCGGGTTTTGGGCTCAATCCCCAGTAGGAGGTGAGCAGGAGGCAGCTGATTGATGTTTCTCTCTCACATCGATGTTTCTATCCCTCCTTTTCTTTCTAAAAAAAAAATCAAAAACATTAAAAAGAAAAACAACAAACTAAGGTTGTCTCTATAAAGGCTTAAACATTTTTAAAATTCATTTTTTAACTTAAGTTTAACTTTTGAGATCTAGTAGATTTCACATAATATTAGAAACAATCCATACATTGCATTTAAAGTCAGATACATTTTTTTCTCCCAGATGCTACTTACTTTTGTTATAATACAGTTTTCAATTGTACATATATAGCATATTATCCATACATAACATTCAGTTTACCTTCTCATATGGGAGAGATAACCAAAAAGAATACATTGTTCATATAATGGAGTTAGTTGGTTGCATTATACTAAAAATTGCCTTTTCTTTAATATTCCTATCATACTTACAACCTTATTAAAGTTTGGAATGGAGAGGTAGATGCCCTTTAGATGAGTAGTAATTGCCATTTACCACAGAATTTTGTCAGGTTACTTTGTTTCCTGTTTTTGTCTAACATTTGTATTTTGTAACATAATTTTTTGAAATAAAGCGTAGAATGTAATGGCAAAGTCGTTGTTGAAAGACAAAATACTCTTTGCTGAGGGATCTCAAGGATTAATGTCTTCTCCTTGTAATGTTCTATTTAGAAATTATATATAGTTTTGCAAAACAAGGTGTCAGAAGACAAGGTAACATCCATTTTAAATCAGCCCTCCAATGTTACAACAAATTTTTTTATTTCTTAGGCCCCTGTAGGAATCATTCTATGGGTGTTTTAATTTTTTTCTTCAGTGAATGTCTTATATATTGTATCACAATAAGTTCTTGTGAGAGTTGTGTAGACATTTGTTTTAGAGGATGTTTTTCATCCTTGAATTTTGCCCTTATCCACAAGGAAATATTTTTTTCTGTGACTGGGCTGACTCTAGAGAAATATGCTTTGCAAGACAGTAATTGTTAAACAGTATTCTCATCCAGAAAGAAATTTTAGTACATTGGAGCCTTCATGAGAAGGCTGTCCTTAAGATTTATACCACATGGCTGTGTCATCATTGGGACTATAAAATGTTGAAATCATGTACTTTCAGTACTTAAACTATTTAGATTGTAAGATGAACCTAATACTAAAATGCATAGAGTGATAGCTCATGCCAAAGTCCATTGTACTATAGGGGGGATATCCTCTCTAGTAGGGTTTGAAGCCAAAAGTTCCTGACTTGTTTTTCATAAGTACTGGCCACATAGATACCAACAAGTTCTAAATAAAAAGCTATAAAAACTACCAGACCACCCAGATACTCATTAAATTTGCTGAAGGTGTCCTGTGGCTTAAAATCCACTTCTAATTTTAAATACTTAGAATCCTCTCGGAATAGCAAACACCCAATTGAGGAATTAAAACATAAGTTCCTTATACACCTTATAATATATTTCTTTTTTATTTAAACTGTTAAAGTCTAAATATAAACTATTTAGGCTGAAGGGACACTTATAATGCCCTTTTTGTTTATTTTAATGCATTATAATCATAATTATGGCATATTGTTTCCTACGTTTATGTCCCAGTGACTGAGCACACCATTTTTAAGCTTATGTTCTTCTAACAGGGCTCCATAGTGAAACCATCTCTACTGACCCCCAAGTTCCTTCTCATATATTTGTCAATTATGACATTTGTTTATTATTCTTTTAACAGTATCAAAGAGAATCAGAACTTAATGGTGCCTCTTGGAAGAGTATCTAGAAGAACACACCTTTGTATACCTGGTGTAAGATAGAAAAATCTACGTGTAGTAGTGTTCCTTCAGTCTTCTTAGACACGGGGGAATGGTGTTTCCTTCTCTTCTAACCTCAGAAAGCTGCTTTTGTAGGTTTTGCTAAAATGCCCATGGATCAGAAAACTGTGTTGAGTTCATTGAAGAATTCAAGTTCATCTGGTCTGAGCCTTCAATTTTATAAGTGAGGAGGTTAATTTAGTATTGAGCTTGACGATCTTAGACATAATTTTAGTTATGAGCAGCTTTATAAAAAGGTTACTCAGATATTATGAAATATTTCCTTTTATTTTGCAAAGTTCAGATTTGGTTTGGTTTTTATATATATATTAATATGTATGTTTATTTTATGAGGGAATTAAAGCCTTAATGAGCCTTGAACTTTAGGAACCAGTATAGTTAAACAGTCAGTATTCTGTGCATTTTAAACTAAAATCAGAGTAGACTTAAAGCAGTTTGTTGTTTGGAGGTGTATTCCAAACTCCTTGGAGAATAAAGAAACATGCATATCAAGTACTTGGTAAGGCTTCTGCTAGAACTCTGGATTTGATCTGCTCTCTTGTAACTAAAATCATGAATAGTACTGCAGTTACTACTTTTTATGCCAGAGATCGGGAGCAGTCACTGTTTTCTTGACCAAAAATCTTGCATGTAAATTAAAATGTGGGCAAGAACATAACCAGCCAGATATGCCTGAACACTCAAAGGGATAAGTTAAAGTCAATCATAAACTAGGAATTTTAGTTAAATATCCATTAGATTCAGCACAGAGCTTTGGAGTGGAAATTAGAATTGGGAAACTGTATTGAGAAGGCAGAAGGGTGGGAGTGAAGGAAGGTTTTGTGTTAATAGAACCTTTTTCTTTTTAGTTTTGTAAATTCAAAAATAACTTATTTGGCTTCTTTCCAAACTTGGCTGAGGTACTTGGCTACTAAGAGTAGTGTCTTAAGTAACTCTTTCATTATAGTTGATTAAAAGTGGAGTCACTGTAGTTTGGCATTTACTGGGCTGTTAGTGTCTTTTTAAAAAAAAATATATTTTATATATTTATTTTTTAATCCTCAACCAAGGATATTTTTACATTTATCTTCAGACACAGTGGGAGGGAGGGAGCGAGAAAGAGAAAAACATCGACATGAGAGGGACACATCGACTAGTTGCCTCCCTCACAGAGACAGACTGCAACCAAGGTATGTGCTAGAATCAAACCCAGGACTCCTTGGTCCGCAGGCTGACACTCTAACCACTGAGCCACACTGGCCAGGGCGGGCTGTTAGTGTTTTAAAGAGAAGATATGTTCCCTTTCTTCTCTTTCCTCCAATGTTAGGGCACTTGCTGTTTTTGACGCTAGGGATGGATTGATCTTAGAACAGGCATTGAAGTATGTAGTTAAAAAATATATATTTTTTAATATTTTTATTTTTATATTTTGCTTATTAGAAACGTTTTCAATTTTAGCATTTTATGGTTTGGTTCTCTGTAGTCTCTCTCTTTCGCTCTTTCTTCTCTCGTTTTATTCACTATGTTGTCTAAGGCTCACTCTAATTAGCACATATCCAGGGCTTTTGGTTATAAAAGAGGCTAAAAGCTTTGAAATCTAGAGAATCCATTTATATGAACTATATATAATATATGTGGCTTTTAATGTGATGCAGATTAAACATCATAACCCATATATTACTCCATAGTGCTGTCATGTAAACTTTTCAAATCATCCCAGTAAAATAAATAGTAACTTCACATTTTATGTTTTATAAATCATTGGTATATATGTGGATAAAGCATAAAAGACCATGGACATTTTCTTGATGGAATTCAATTATTCCTTGGCTACTATAGTGGAATATTTTAAAAGTCAACATTATAAATTAATTTGATGCACACACCATCACTGCTACCACCTTCCAAATCTGTTAGACATTTATATATTTGTCAAAGATGGACCTGCAGCATGTTTAATTAGCCCAAGTTGTGCTATTCTAGTAGATATGACCCAGATAACAGTAATCATTAAGATCTCAATGAAGTGTAATAGTATGTTAATGTGGTTTATGTAAAATTTTTTATTAGAAGTTTTACTTGCCTATAGGCTAATTTCTTTCAGGTTTTGGGCATGTGTTCATTTGCATGACAGTGTTTTGCATATATGAAATTAAAATTCATTTCATGGTCTGCTCTAAAGTATTTGGCCAGTATGTAGGGTTTTTGAAATTTCTAAGAGATTACTGAAATGATGGTTAAAAGGAGTTAATATTCTGCGTTCACATCTTGGAGTATTTCTACATATTGGCAAAGATGATATTTTGGGCAGCAGTAACCTATACTACTGGGTTATTGTTCTCTGGCAGTAAGTTAGCAGGTCTTTTGTACTATACAGTTAATTAATAGAAGCAATAACTTCATTTGATATTTACTTAAATTGAATTTTAAAAGTTTAGTAACAGCTTTAGGTATGGAACCATAATCACGGTCTATTTTGGAACATTTTCATCATTCCAAAAAGAAACTTGAAACCATTAGCAGTCATTTTCAGTTTTTCTCCAACTCTTCTTCCCTGGAGTCCTAGGAACCAGTGATCTGCTTTCTGCCTCTAAATTTGTTTATTTTGAACATTTCATACAAATGGACTTATATAATATGTGGTCTTTGTATCTGGCTTCTTTCACTTAGCATGTTTTCAAGGTTCATCTGTACTGTAGCACATATTAGTACTTCATTTCTTTTTATTGCCAAAATTTTGTTTTTAAGGTTATTTCGGTATTTTTTTAAACTCCATTCTTCCTCTTTTCATTGTGAAATAAGCCCTAAGGTCTCTGATCATAATTATTACGATTTCAGAGAGTAAGCCAGTTCATTTCTGTAAGCCACAAAACAATCATCTCCATGTTCTAGACGAGCATTTTATATAGTTAATCTATATATTATAAGACAAGACTTTATTTTAAAATATATTTTCAGAATATGTGAGCTTAGCTACTGCCAGTGGCAAGCCCTGCTGAACCAGGCATATCACTGTGACTGCAAATTGGTCCATTTCAATATAGTTTGTATCAGTAGCATTTTTTTATACCTAAAAAAATGTTTAGGTCATTTCTTTATGCTTTCATTAATGGTTCTTCACTAGGGAATACCAGTATATTATCAGAAATAGAATCCCTGGTACTCCCATCACATATAGATTTGTAGACATCAAACTGCATGAAAGATGAAGTTCTGTTATTAGCTACAGAATTTATATAGTTGTTCAAGGAGATGTTTATACTCTGTGTTAATCTTCTTTCTTTTTGTTTGTCATTTTTGAATATGCATCTTCTTCAGGATCCTTTGAAAAATAACACATGCAAAAGGTTAGTATCTCCTTAATGCACTTCATTATGCTCAACATAATGTCTGGCAAGAGGTTCTTCCATAAATCTACATGTATGGTGTAACTTAAGAGTACAGTTTGACAGCTAATTCATTTTTGGCCAAAATTATTGAAAATTCAGAAGTTCCTTAGCATTAGCAAAATTAATTTTTACAGTTTTAATCATTTTGAGTAATCTGGAAAGTTCATGCCTTGAGTAATTTTTAAATCAAATTGGAATCACACTCAGTAAGAGGCTGGTATGTGTGGACAAGTAACTGCTATTGACTCAAGCCCAGTCTCTGCAGCTCAGCTCAGCCATGCAACTGCCTCTTAAAACTTAATGTCATTTAATTCTCACAATCACTCTGTAAGGTAGGTACTATTATTCATTTAATAGAAGCAAAAAATTATGTATTGCAGTCATATTCAGGAATTTGGGTTTTCTCAAAAGCTTACTTACTTTGCAGTAATATCAGTAATATAGCTCTGAAAAATATAAATTTGCCATTCCTTAAGTGCTTCTACTTGACATGACTGTGAATCCTTGGCTTGTAAAAAACTTTTATAGAGATTATATAGAGCTATCTGTTTTATCTTTCTGAGGTTCCCACTTAAAGCATTTCAGAGAAAGGGAGAAAATGTATCTTTTCTCCTCATAAAAGTATCATGTCTTTTTTATTTGAGGTGGTGGACAGAGTATTAGAAAAGTGCTAACTGAAAGGAAACAGTAAATCAGCTTCCTTAATATTAAGGACTTAGGCTTAATAAACAATTGAAAATATAAGCCATAAACTTGCAATAGACTTATGCTACAGATAAAACTGAATAAGAACTATTATGTAGAATACATAAAGAATTCCTACAAATCATTTAAAAAATTTTAGAATACGAGGAAAAGACTTAAGCACCTTACAGAAGAGGAAAGACAAATATAAGCATATGAAAGAAAGTTTTAATTTTGTTTGTCATCAGAGAGGTGCTCATTAAAATAATTGGGTATATTTCACACTTACCAGATGGGCAAAAATTTTAAATTTTAGAAATCAGAGTTGTTTAGTAAGTAGATCTCCAAGATCCTTAGGCCCTCTTAGGGAATATAAATGGGCACAATCACTTTGGAAAACAATTTGGCATTATCTTTTAAATTTGACAATAACTTTTGACCCAGTGATTCCATTTCTAGGGTTGTGCTCAAGAAATTGTGTACACAAGTATACCAGGAAACACATACAGGAATATTCATAACAGCATTATTCAAGAACTTAAAATATGGGAAATAACCCAAATGACCATTCATTATCAAAGTGAATGAATTAATTCTGGTATATTCATACAGTGAAATGCTACAAAGCGATAAAAATAAATGAATCACAACTACATGCAATAACCTGAATGAATTGCCAAGAAGAGAGTTCTGTGTTATTGCCAGGAAGTTATTGTTGAATCTAAATCTCCTTGGTGCAGTATAAATGCATTTTTTCTGGTTCTAGTCTCAGTGGCAGTTAAGTATTACCAAGGATTATGTGAGGATTGGTGGTCAACCATCTTCGGTCTTTTGTACTGAGGAATTTCTCTTCATTATTTTCTCAACAATCTTGCTTTAAAAAACATTTTTTTTTTTTTTTAAACAAAGCTACCTGACTGCTAAACTAAACTTGGCCCAGAGCAGCTTGGTTTTTTTTTAAATCCTCACCCGAGGATATTTTTCCATTTATCTTCAGATAGAGTGGGAGGGAAGGAGAGAGAGGAAGAGAGAAGGAGAGAGAGAGAAACATCAATGTGAGAGAGACACATCAACTGGTTGCCTCCCACACAACTCTGACCAGGGCCAGGGTCAAACTGCAACCAAGGTACATGCCCTTGACCGGAATCGAACCCGAGACTCATTAGGCTGTGGGCCGACACTCTAACTGCTAAGCCAAACCGGCCATGGCCCAGAGCAGCTTTTGCCATACTTTTTTTTTTTTTTGAGTAATAGTATTCTTTTTATTTTACTTTTCAAAAAATGAGTTCCAAGAAATAATGAAATATCATGATTAAGCAACACATGTTAAGAAACAAAAAACCTGCCCAGCCAGTGTGGCTCAGTGGATTGAGTGTCATCCCATGCACCAAGAAGTCACCGGTTTGATTCCTAGTCAGGGCACATGCCTGGGTTGCAGGCTGGATCTCCAGGAGGCTGGATCTCCAGGAGCCGATCTATGTTTCTATCTCTATCTCCCTCTCCCTTCCTCTCTCTCTAAAAAAAAAATTAACACAACAAAAAAACAAACCTTCCTCTGCCATTTGGTAGAAATGTTAGGGAAATTTTGTTTCACCAACTATGGGTCTAAAGGTAAACATTTACTGAGTACTCTAGAAATGGTTGCCACAAGTACCACTATTCCTAGTAGAAATCAACTGTAGTTGTTTGTTGTAATAGGTGCAGTTAAAAATGCAAAGATGAACGGGCCTCATTCCAGCACTGAAAGAATTAAAAATGTATAACCATATCGCAAAGAGTAGCTAATGAGTTGAATCTGCACTGCAGTGCAGCTGAGTTTCTAAAGGAGCTTTCCCTTGGCCGGTATAACAAAATCCCTTTTACTCATTAGGACACATGGTGAACCTGTTAGAAGTGCAGACAAGTTTTTATATTTATACAGTGACTGTGGAATAGCAAACCTCTAAAAACAAAAGGACCACAAGTACCCTGACAACCAAAGGATGACAGACTTACAAAGGGAGAAATATTCAGAGCAAATACGGGCTAGCATAGTCTCTAAATTACACCATTATCGAACTACTAGCTAATCCTTTAAACTGGAAGTAAATCTAAACTCATGTTCATGTGCAGTGCCTATCCAGAGGCAAGTAACAACGAACACACCTTTCCCCCACTTACCATGTTATGCCAGAGTAGCATAAATCAATCAAGTTAGATTCACCTGTAATTGAAAATCAGTAGTTCTAATGTGAGCTTTTGCCGTATTTAAATGTACAAAGTGCTAGGCATGTTTAGGCAAAGAGAATCATTTTTATTATTGAGCCTAAGCTGGTTTTATTGGCTTCAAAACTTTAATACCAAAACTGCATATGTCATAAGTAGACGGGCAGCCAGGTCATTTGGATCATGTAATTTACACCTTCAATCTAGCAGTGCTATTGAGCTCTATTAGAAGAATTATTTTAAGGTGAATGATGACTATTCTGAAACTCCTAAGGAAAATCTCTTATAGGAGTTTTTAAACCAACTGCCATTTATCTAGCTTTATTAGAACTATTAACATGTTCTGTGTGTGTGTGTGTTCATACTTATTAGTGTCCAAACTTAACTAGAGATTACAAGGATGGATTTGGAATCAGCCTGCTTGACTGACTTCACTTTGTGATTTTGGGTGCAAAGCTTGTATTCTTATGTAAAAAATGAGAATAATAGTAGAATCTATTTTGTATTGTTGTGAGGATTAAAATGTAAAAATACATGTGAGGCCGTTATTGCCAATAGTTGTATTAGATGTTGTTAATTCTTCTAAATTTATAATTATATATAAAATAGTGGTTTTTTTCTGTTTAAAAATGTTCATTGTAGAATATGTGAAAAACAAAACATGAAGAACTAGCTGTAATCTCATAACCCAGAAAGAACCATTATATGACTTTGTAAAAAAAAAACGTATGAAGGTGTGTACATATATCTTTTTTATCTTTTTTTGTAGGATACTAGACATTATTTTTAATCTTTTTAAAATTATCATTTAATATTGTTACTCCAGTCCAAATATTTGTTCTTCTCCAACTACTGTGTGATAAAAGCAGTTAAAATTCCCAAAGTAAATTTAAAAAATATTAAAATGTGATTGTTGGAAGATGGTGAACATTTGGTATAAAACATTCATGACTTTATTGCTTTTTCCCTCCAACTTCTAGTTGCTGGTCATGTTGGATTTTCCCCATCATAGGCGCTATTCTCTTAGGTTTCCTGTACCGTTCCTACTACATGTCGGAAAGCAAATCCTCCTGAGGAGGCCTTGTTGAAGCCTGGAAAGCCTATCCACTTGGGAGTGAAAACTACAGACTTGTTTGGAGGCTGCAGCAGTGCCCTGTTCTCAAATCCTTCCAGTTGTGTTCTTCCCGCTTGGAGCCTAGACGGTTGGCTGCGCATCCACCTCAGACCTGAGGACAATGTCCTTTCTCAGAACCTGCTCATTGTTCGATGTCCTTGCCAGTGTTTCCTGTCTTCCCTAGTTTTCACAAGCACCTTCATATTACAAAATTTTCTGTTAATGACTGCAATCCATATGCCCTAGTAACATTGCCCTTTGGTAAAAATGCCTGCTTTCCAATACTTTGAATGCACATTAGACATTCTTAACACAGCAGCATACTCTGGTTTTTGAAGCTTTTCTTTTTCCATTTTTCTTTTAAGTAAATATTATTTTAAAATTCTGCCCTGGCCAGTTTGGCTTAGCAGTTGGAGCATTGGCCTGTGTCTGGAGAGACCCGGATTCGGTTCCCGCTGAGGGCACGTACCTCGATTGCAGTTTGTCCCTGGCCCTGGTTGGGTCATGTGGGTGGCAGCCACCTGATGTGTCCCTTTCACGTTGATGTTCCTCTCTCTCTCCCTCCCACTCTATCTGAACAAAAATATCAAAAAATGTCCTTGGGTGAGGATAAAAATTAAATAAAATTCTGATTCAATTTTATAGTTTGTCATAAGGGATTTAGTGCATGAAGCAAGTTGTACACCTATAACTTAAAACACAACTGCCAACTGATCTTGTTCCTTGTTTATATTTGTTAAAACTAGAAAGAGCCATGTGATCATCCACTCCCTCCCGAGCTAGTGTAGCAGGTAGCTCTTGCCACCCCCTTGTTCACTATGTGGTCCTGGACAGAACTGTTGTTCTCTTTCATTTCTTGGAGTGGAGAGAAACAGGAAAAGGGAGAGATGAATTGGAGTGATAGGGAAAATTCATAGCAATCTTTCTTCTGAAAAATACTGAGAAACACTACTCTAGGACAGGAGTTTAGAGAAAGCACCAGTTTGGCACCAGTTTCTAGCCATCTTTCTTTTTCCTTTCCCTCAACCATTTTTATTGGTAAAATATAAATTTGTAATTATGTCTGTAGAGCTTTACCAGAAATTTTTGTTGCTTTTTTGTTTATTGATTAGCAAAATTTTTATTCCCTGTTCTAATGAAAGGAAGAGACTCCATATTGATCAAAGACACAATATTTGATCTTCTGTTTGCCCAGTGAAATAAATTCCATAGTCAAGTGGCATTTGAAAGGGGGAGATGGTAACAAAAGAATGTTTTCTATTTCATCTGTATTTTACCCCCATGGCTCCAATTTGTGGTTTTGTTGTTTTTCCTTTGAGAATTTAAAAACTGGTAGTTTTTTTTTCTTGGATGAGTGCTTCATTGAAGGGTAGGTTATTACTTAGAATTATGTTACTCTTTCCTCTTGGTTCGGGAATTTCTTTGGTATATTTGCCTTTACTATTTTTCCCTGTGAAAGCACCCGAGGAGACGGCACACTGGCTGTTTTCTGCCCATCCTTTGAGGATTACCCATCTGCTTTTGAGCCATTGTCATACGCAGCAGGGAACAGCAGGGTTCAAGAAGGACCGTGGGCACTGCTTAGTACCTCCTCCCGCTTCTTGCTTGCCAGGAACTTGACAAGACAGGAAACTGCCCAGCAAACCAGTGTTGGCCCATGCAAACTGTTTAAGAAAAAGTTCAGCCCAGGTCTTGTATCCTGTGATTTAGCAGTCAACTGAATTCAGAATTCATCAAAATAATACCCATTTTTGCACTGTGGAGCAATGTTTTGGGATTTCTGGCTGACTTTTGTATATCAGGAATATGGTGTAGTCAAACTTCTATCATTAGAAAGTGTTTTGTATGTGTTATAAGATGCCACTTTAAGATACTTTATTGAATAAAATAACCGTCAGGCTGGTGTGGCTCCGTGTTTGAGTGTCTACCCATGAACCAAGAGATCGCTGGTTCGATTCCTGGCCAAGGACACATGCCCAGGTTATGGGCTTGATCCCCAGAGAGGGGCATGCGAGAGGTGGCCAATTGATGTTCTCTCTCATCGGTGTTTCCATCTCTCCCTTTCACTTCCTCTCTCTAAAATCAATAAAGGGGGAAAAAAAAGAAAGAAAAGAAAATAGGTTTTTAAAAAGAAAAAAATAACCTTTGGTTATTATGTAGCAGAAGTGGTGTGACTACAAATGATCCTTTATTTGAATGCAAGGAACGGTTGCCTTGAATAAGAATTGGTATATAATTGCTATAAGTTGCATGTTTATATGGGACCACATAGGGGTAGAAGTAAAGAACAAAGAACTATTGAGGAACTGGAATGGGAACATTCAAGCTAAAACTAAGCCGGAAGATAACTTGGATCAATCAAAAGTGTGTTGGCAGTCTTCAAAATTGAATGAAAAACATCTGGCTTATAAGAAACATTAAAGAATGATAGTCTTAAGTAAAATTGGTGTTTTTGACATTTTTAGGGTAAACACCAATGCAAAAGTATGTTTTTCTGTTTCATATTGGTTGTCTTTTCCTGTTTATATCTGGACTTAGAGCCAAAGAAAAAGATTTTCAGACTTTGTCTCTACCATCTATGAAATCCATCCAATACCCAGGGTTTCTTTTGATCTGCTAATGTGATGTCACTTTATATTATAAAAAAACCACTTTTGGGTCCATTTATTATTATTCTGCTGCCTACATAAACAGCCAGGTGAAAGGTAGAGCTGTGTGAGAATTTGCAGAGCTCTTTCTAAACAATAAAGTAATACAGCATGTTAGCCAAATCCATCATAAAGGACTTTTGTTTTAAGAGGTAGACTGGAATTCTCGAAACAGTCTCAACATTGGTAGGTCATGAAAACCCCTCTGGAACAAGAAGGGCCTGCCCCTGTTGGCTGACCGTGCCCCCTGGGATTGGTCTCAGGGTGTTTGATTGTTTATTCCCAAGGACGATTAGCTGCTACTGCATACCATACTGCACACATATGGCTGGGATCACAAAACGAGCAGATAAGGGAAATTTTTTGCCACTGAAATAGGGATGTGCCAGGTCTCCAAAATTTCCTGGCCCCTGTCTCTTTAAGAATTGGTTTGTTTCCACATAACTTCTACATTTGTAAAGACAAGAAATACTGTGTTTAGTTCTTATGTGACTGCTTAAACAGAAACAAAAACCCATTAGAACCTATAATTTGAGTCTATAAAGTTCTCTGAGCAGTCGTCATAAATGCATATGTTGTGAAATAAGAGCATTGTTGAGTTTATAGTCATTTAGTTCTGATGTGGAGCAAGGAAAAATGCTATTTTGCAGGCCAGGTATATCATTACCCATGGTATCTCGTGCTTAAAATCTCAAGTGATAGCTATCTGGTTAAATTCCATTTTAGGAGATTAAAATGCAGAATGTTAATGTTTATTACTTCCTTCCCCAGGAGAAATGGATTCAGACATGTCTTGTCTCAACAAGAAATTGATTCTTTTTAAACCACCTCACTCAGTTGCCAAATATCACAAAAGTTATGGGGAATTTGGTTACATTGGGCTATTGTGCTCTGAAAGAGCCCGGTTTGAAATTGGGGGTGATCACGGAGGTTCTAAGAAGCAGAGTGGTATTTAAGTTAACCACCCTACATCTAACCTCTTAACTCCTGAGTTTTAGGAACTGCTCTTTGCCTGTATCTATATTGTACATTTGCTATTTTGACAAAGCATTATTCTGATTATTTGACTTTCTTTTTACTTAACCCTCGACTATGAATGAGTAATATTAACATTCCTTTTGTGTATTCAATAATGGAGTTTGTTTACCTATTTTATTTCAACATGTTTTGAACAAAGATCTTTGTCTCTTTCTGCTGGAATGTGCACACAGTGAATGTTTGTTAGAACTACACACAATAAAGATACTGTTCGCCTTTTCTTGCCCTGACTACAGTTATTAAAACACACACACACACACACACACACACACACACACACCTCTTTTTTTAAAGTAGGAGTGTTGGCTTTGTGATCTTCAGGTGTCTTAGAAGAAAATAATTTGAGAAGCATGTTTCTGTGCTAACACTGCTTAGTGTGGCTGGTGGGGAGTTCTGTGGTGCAGGTTCTTACTGCAGCTCTTTCCTTGGAGTGAATGGCTTGTTTGATAATCATCAGAGGCAAAAATCATTACTTGCTGTATTGATGGATGTGAAGTGGTCTCCAGGTAGACACGTTGCTGTTTTTACTGAAACCATCTGCAAAAAAAGCCAGTACAAGGTAATAATATTTTGTTATCTGCAATGCCAGTCTTCAAAATTATTGTTTTTCTTGGAAATAGCTAAACTGTTGGGGAAAATTAAACACTGAGATTGAAGTTCTAATGATTGTTTAATAAAACAAGGGAAATAAACCATTTTTCTCATTGCTTCTAAAACCTACTGATAGTCTTCTAACATCACCAATGACACAGTTCCTGCGGGCTTTGTCTCTTCACTATCACATGAATTGAGGATTGCTAACAGGAAAGCATTGTCCATTCTTATTACTAACTTTTGAATCTAATATGTAATCTTCAGCCATAATAATGCATATTACTGCATTCTTCCTGATCCTGAGTATTTGGCAGGTGCTTGACAAATCCTGGCTGATTACAAAAACCTGAGGTAGAAGAGTGTGATTCCAGTTATGTAAATTTAAATGTATGAAATACGGTTTACTAAATTTTCGGTAATTGTAGGTCATGTAGGGAAACTAACTTTAATTAGCTGAATAGAAGTCTAAACTACATGTTTCAAGGCCCACTCAGCTTAACTGCATATTACCAGCATTTTAAAAACAATTCTTTTATGAAGCATTATGGAGAGACTAGAGTTGCTTTCCAATGAAACATGACGATGCCCAGGCTGGGGTGGCTCACTGGTAGAGCACCGACCCATGCACCAATAGGTCACCAGTTCAATTCCTGGTCAGGGCACATGCCCAGGTTTTGGGCCAAACCCCCAGTGGGGGCATTCAGGAGGCGGTCAATCAGTGTTCTCTCTCATCGATGTTTCTATCTCTCCCTTCCTCTCTAAAATCAATAAAGAGAAAATATTAAAAAAAAGAAACATGAGGATGCAGTTGTAACACTATCATTTATATTACATCTACCATGTGCCACGCAGTGTCTTCAATAGTTTACAAACATTTCTGCTCCTTCCCTATAGGATCCTTACATGGTAGATGGGGAAGAGGGGTAACCCAAATCTTACCAGTGGCTCAGAGAGCCACTTGACTTGCCCGAGGCCACACAGCTAACTAGAGAGCTAGTGTTTTTCTGTTTGTTTGTTTTGTTTTGTTTTAATCCTCACCTGAGGATATTTTCACATTTATCTTCAGACAGAGTAGGAGGGAGGGGGAGAGAGAGAGAGACAGAGAGAAACTTTGATGTGAGAGAGACACAT